CGGGAGGCCGTGGCGGGTTCCCAGGGCCTGCGTTAGCTCCGCGGTGTTACGGGGGAACGGGGGAAAGGCGTTGCGACTCTATGGGTCCGCTCCTGTCGCGAGCAGCGCTCCTTTAGGGGCAAAAGGAAAAAAACCCCGCTGTTAACGTCATTATTTCCTTGCTGGATGTATGCTCGGTTCCTTGCTTAGTGCTTCCCCCCCCCGATGGTTAGCAAAGTTATTAAATTTTTTGCTAGTCTTGGGAACTGTAAAATTCTCATTTGTAATCTGTTATTTATACATAGCACAATTAATGTAAACATCTGTCACATCTGTGACATAGCTACTCCAATACGACTATAGTTCCTGTAAGTTCAAGTACTGGTTCACAAAGCCTGGGAAGACTGTTATATATTATGAGCAAGCCTTTACCAAGATTTTTGCCCCAGCTGGGTTTATTCCTAATGTACCATTCCTGAAACGGGTGCAGACAACGCGGAGACAGCGGCTGCAGGGGATTTGTTTTTAGGTAGAGGCTGATGATTCTGTAGAGGAGAAGGGAGAGGGCTTCAGAAGGAGTTCTTGCATGTAAAGCTGGACTACAAGCCCAGCCTAACTTAAATCAGTGCAAATGCAATATATTTACAGTGTTGCATTTATGAAGTTGGGCTCTGTAGGCGAGTGTGCTCAGACTCGTGGTTTTTCAGATGTAGGAGTGTGTGGGTTTAGGAGCGGCAGCAGTGAGCCAGCGTGTCTGGGTGTGCCGGCGGCTGCATCACCACTCACAGCAGTGGTGGTAGTGGCAGTGTCTGTCCCTGTGCTGTACCCAGCTGCAGGAGAAATGGAGCAGGTGAATAATTGATGGGGAACAAAGTGCTGCTTAAATAGCCAAAATGCCCTTCTCCCTGCAGAGGAAACACAGTGGGCTGGGTGGCTGTGTGCCCTCAGACAGCTCCAATAGCAAAGGCTGTCCCACCTCCCATGGCTGGAGTCTCTTCTGTGTCTGATTTTAGCATGTTCTGTCTCAATTTTCACCAAATAATGAAAGAGTCCTGAATTTTATTTTAGGCTTGGGAGAGAAATGAATTTTAGATTATCGATCATTTTAGTTGTGTCTTTTTCCAACCTGATTCAGTACCTGTTTCACTGCTCAATGGCCCTCTCTGACCCCAGGCATTGAGCTTATCACCCAGCTCATCTTTCTTGCACCTGGTTAGCCTTGCTCTCCATTCCTGAGCTCATGAAGTCCAGCTCTTACTTCCTCAAAGGCAGGGTAGAATACACATTTTAGTAACTCAAGCAGCATCTTTGATTAAGGAGGTGCTAACCTTACCCATAGGCATTGTGTGTGTATAACCAGGAATTGACTGAAGCCATATGTATGGAGCGGAGCAGTTATCTGTCTGTAATCAAACTTGCTGTGGAACAGAAAAGTGCAAGTGAGAACAGGAACAGTTTTGTATCTAGTCATCTTGTAGTGGAGGAGCCAAATGCAATACTTGTGTTCAAGTCCTACCTACTGCTGATATATTTACTTCTGTTTGTTTCATTAGTATTCAGTGGAGTAGAATGGGGTCAGACTAATCCAAAGTGCAACTTGCTGACACAGCAGCATGTATTTTGTACCTCTTTTGATCAGCTTAACTTAATTTTTCCCTATCATCTGAAACATTCTGGAACTACTCGTAAGGCAAGGTAGAGCTCCCAAGGCTGCATGCATAAGGTGGAGGGAGCTGTGATGCTCCTTGTGTCATGGTAGGTATTTTAGCATATGAATGTGTCTATAAGGCATGTTAAAAAGTTAAAGATTCCTTGCTCTCTCTGGAAGCCTCTGTTCTCCTTGGGCTGAGGCAGTTGTAAGCTCGATCAAACGTGTAAGGCATAACTAATGCAGTCTGCTTTCAATTCCTTACAGCTGAACGTCCTGCCATCCTTTGGATTTCTCTTTGACATTGATGGTGTCCTGGTCCGAGGGAAGACTCCGATTTCTGCTGCAAAACCAGCCTTTCGGAAGCTCGTGAATTCTCAGGGACAGTTCTTGGTGCCTGTGGTGTTTGTCACCAATGCAGGGAATTGCCTTCCCCAGAAAAAAGCTGACCAGTTGTCTCATCTCCTGGGAGTTCCAGTGAGTCCCTTCAATCCTATTTAGTTAGTTAGTTACTATAGTGAATGTGTCCAATGTATTATCTTCCATAAAATACTGCTCAGCTCATCAGTTCTGGTTTTCCCTTAAGCCTCCTGAAGTGCTCTGCTGGAGGCATTACAAAGTAAAGAATGCTAAAAAGCTAATGGCAGTTCCATTGGTAAAGGTACTGATTTTTTCAATGGTAAGGCTAATGGTAATGATATTTCCTTGCAGCATTATTATTGTGGGAATAAATCTTGCCTTCTCCTGAATAAAAAAATGCATGTGCCAGTACCATGAGACTCTGCTCCAGCAAGCTGCATGTGTCCTGTGATAATGTGCAGGACAGGAGCTTCCTGCCTGTTTTGGATACAAGTACTAAAGCTTTATTCCCTATTGATCTGTGATCACCCCGGGGAGTGGGGATTCTCTGTTCCCAGGGAGTGTGTGAACATTACCCAGAGAAAGCCATGAAGTCAGTCCTGCAGTGCTTGTTGTTTCTGTGTCGTGGGTAAAATGACATCTTGGTTCTGTTGGGATTTTTTAGATCTGTAAAGGTGATAAGCAGCAGTTCATAATAGCTTCCTTCCAGGATAATGATCTTACTGGTTTTACACCTGTTGAAGTAATGAGGATATGTAAACTAAAATAAGGTGATCTGATGCAATTAAATCAGTGCTGCAGTCTAGCAAAGGGTCCACGATTGGAAGTAGGGTCATTCTGATACTCCTTCCCTGTTTGTTTTCCAAATGAATTGGGTGATTATGTAAAACAAGGAGGGAAAACCTTGTGCTTATGTTGAACAGAGTAATTCTGGAAGCTGAAAGGAGTGTAGGTGACAATTTGTCAGTAATGTGGTTTTTTTTTTTTTTTTCTGGCATATTATCAATAGGTCATTTGTGAAACTTGAGATAAACTGCTATGGTGGGGCTTTAGGTACCTCTGTATGACTATTCTGTAATTCCTAGAATTTGTCACACTTGTTAATTTAATCTGTGTATAAATAAGTTCTCTGAAAAACAGCAGAGTCCTTTTGTTTTTCAATCCCAAGCAGATTTCACAAGATCAGGTGATGATGTCACACAGTCCTCTGCGGATGTTCAAGCGTTACCATGAAAAATGTGTCCTGGTGTCTGGGCAAGGACCACTTCTTGATATTGCTCAAGAGTATCTTTATAGAAATTAAAAACTCAACAACTTTGTTGAACTGTTCCTTAGTCAAGTTCAGGGGATCCTGTGGATCAGATGAAGACCAAAGGTTTCAACACCACAGATGCAGTAATAAGCAGCAGTAGTTCTTCCTCTCATGTCAAATCTACATTTTGAATGTGGTTGGTGTGTTGGTGTTTGCTTCACTTGGTTCTGTCTAATTTTAGTGAGCAAGGAAAAAAGAGAAAGTGATTGTTGGGGTTTTTGACTTGTATGTAAAGGACACTTTAGCAAAAAGGGTTTGTGCTCTCTGGAGGACAAGATCATAGCATTATCTGTTATTTTTTGTATCTGACTTTTAGCTCACTCACTCCAGATCTGCCTGTAAGGATGTAGCCAGGCTAGGTCACATCATTCTGTAACCAGCATCTAGAATAGAACTAGACTTGAAAATATTTTCCATTTCTATATTAACTGCTGAAAAGAACTTGAATTATGTTGATATAATGGTGGTATCAAAGGTTCAGACTGTTAATGACCTTAATCTTTACATAATCTTTGGTCATGCATCCAGTAACTCCATTCTGCAGGTCTTCCTTTATTGGGATTGTCATTAAAGTTGGTGTAAATAATAAGTTGTAAAAAATGTATATACAACTTTTAAGTATAAGCTCTATTTCAAATACAAAGATGAGAAGACGGTAACTGAAGGAACATTCCACGGAGCGAGTCCTGCAAAGGGCAATGAGGTTCATAAAAGGTCTAGAACATGTGTCTGGTGAGGAAGGGCTGAGGGAGGTGGGTTTGCTTAGCCTTGAGAAGAGGCTCAGGGATGACCTCAGGGCTCTTTACAACTACCTGACAGGGGTTGTAGAGAGGTGAGGGATGGTCTCTCCTGCGATGGCTGCAGGGAGAGGACTAGAGGGAATGGCCTTGAGATGAGACAGAGGAGATCAGATTAGATGTTAGGAAAAATGTTTTCCCTGTTAGGGTGATCAGACACTGGCCTAGGTTGCCCAGGGAGGTGGTGGAGTCACCATCCCTGGAAGTATTTAAGAGGGGTATGGACTTGGCACTGGAAGATATGGTTTAGGGTTTAGGAGGTACTGCAGTGGCAGGTTAATGGTCAGACTTGATGATCTCAGAGGTCTCTTCCAACTTGATGATTCTATGATTCTAGTAGACTGTCAAAATTCATTAGGCTTGGCTAAGAGATAAGTATATTTCAAGACTGAATGCAAAATAGAAAAGCCTTGATCTCCCATTTAGCAGTAATGGGATGATAATCTTTCTGTCTCTCAGAGGAAAAAGTCAGTCTTTGATGTTGCTTTCATCCCTAAATCATTTGCTTTACCAGATAAATAGCTTATATTCACATTGTTCAAATGGAATTACCCATGTAAAAATCTTTTGCTATCAGCACTCTGTATCCTTAACTGGTGTTGCCCAGCCTTGGTTTCTGTCAGCCCATCACCATTGAAACGCTGCGGGAGAAACACCCGTTGCTAGATGCAGTTGACCATGACAGAAGACCAAACGTTCTGGTGAGTGTATATTCTTGTTTTAAAACTCTGTTTGCTCATTACACGACATTTTCTGAGAGGGGTCAATATTTAAACTAGCGAGCTAATGCTGCTGTTCTTGCATTCTATTTTGACTTTGCTTTTCTGCTTCCTTATTTGTTTTATTACAGCACTTTCAAGAACAACCCTATAGACTGGTTTTTTCTGTCAGTGGTAATCCTGTTACCTAGTATTTGATGTTGTAAATTACTGTTGAGGGAAAACGTATAATTTAATACAGATACCTGATTCAAAATCTGGCTTGGAAAGCTGATTAGCTTCCTCAGATGTGTGGAAGATTAAAAAAGCATTTTCCTTCAGTATAGGATTGTATTGGTATTGTTTCTAGGCTGGGAGGTTGCTTAGTTTGTAAATGAATGCTTTGCAGATAATTAATTTTGCTCCAAAGAACACCTTTTGTTGTTTATACCATTACTTACACATATTTAAATGTTAACAGTATGGGCAGTGTGGTTTCAGCTGAATTGTGCAGGATTTCAAAGAGAAGTGAGTGCATGCAGAGTAAACACCTGTGTGTTGTATTGCAAATGCTATGTGTAATGTACATGTTCAGGGTCAGTCTGTGGAGTGGGTTTTCCCCATGTGAAGCCAGGACATTGTCTGTGGCTCACAGAATGCATAACTCAGGTGTATCACCTGTGCTTCTCAGCCATGTGGATGGGGAAGGTCAAGAACCTGTTCATGTATTTATCACCACAGAGGGTAAATAATGAAGTGCAAGCTCTGAATTATTTAGCAAATATACAAAGTATTTTTACGTATTAACAGTGTTAAAGAAATACATCTCAAAAACTATTTTACAAATGCCTTGATAATACTAGAGCCCTCTTAATCCTGTGGAAAAATAAACATCCATACTTTGATACACAAGTAAATGAAACAAGTGGAGCTTTCAGGCTTGCCAGTGGCAGTTCAGCAGAATCTGAAGGCACCTGCATGTACAACACACTGACTTGTCTGCTGTCCATGTGCCAAGAGATTTTACTTCAGAATGCAAGTGGAAGTTTCTAAGTGAACTGATGTCAGGTATATGCCTAAATAGAGAGTGCATTTCCTGTCAGTGCTGCAGAAGGCAACTGTTGGAACTATACTTCAGTCTGTTCTGTTAAAAATAGTAGTAGATGTTTAACCTTGTAGAAAACTTTCACTTTTTTCTTATTACAGTACCCTTCTGCTGTGGAGCTTCCCAAGATTGAGGGTCAGTTATCTTTATTTAACTTGCAACTATCCATTATAGATGAAAAATCTTTATTGTGCTTAGAAATCATTTTTAGATTGTTGGACACTTCAGAAATTTCAAAAATTTCTATGTCAATGACATCTGTCATTAGTTTGGAATTGGAATGCATTCTGTGTGGTAAAGCTGGAAAACCTTTTTGAAGTTTCAAAGGTGCATGAGGTCTGCTTTCATTTTCCTCTGCCTTTAACAGGCTGTTTCCTTGCCAAAATGAGGAATGAGTTGAAATGTGTTCAGAAATAACTGGTCTTGTTCTTACAAGTAGCCAGGGTGGTCACTTCAGAACTGTAGTATGAGAAGCATCTCATTTCAGTACACTGTATTCACTCCATCTCATCTGAACTACAGCAAAGTAGAAACTGGACCTTAGGATTTTAAAAAAATCCACGTCAGATTATTGCCTGAGACCAGAAAAATGTTTGAAAACACCATCCAAATTTCATTCTAAAATGAATAAAATTATATCTCTAGTGGATTCTTTAAATACTGTATGTAAACATAAAATCCACAAAGGTATGGAAGACTTAGAAATGCAATTTAGAAGTTAATATTTTATGGTGCTCTGCAGAAAGTTAGCCAATAAAAAAAAAATCTGTTCCTAAACCTGTAGATTCTGCAGTGGGGTCTTGCTAATTCTAAGGTTTTCTGTGAGTGAATGGGTCTGTTAAAGTTAATGTGACTATTTCATCAGCTCATGTTTAAATCAAATTACTTGTTCAGTCTCTTTAGACCAAGTTTTAGTGTCAGAGATTTGGTGCCCTGTTCACAGTTCCATAATTTTGTTTTGCAACTCTGCTTCTCACAGCTGTTGTGTTGTTCGGGGAGCCAGTCAGATGGGAAACCAGCCTGCAGCTGATAATAGATGTTTTGCTGACAAGTGGCTATCCTGGAAATCCCTATCACCATGAAAACTACCCTCACATTCCTGTCCTGGCTTGTAACATGGATCTGATGTGGGTAGCTGAGGCACAGTCTCCAAGGTGAGTGCTCTAGAATGGGTGTGTGTTATGATGTATTTTGGGTTTCCTCGTTTCTCCAGTAAAATTCAGAGTCAGCACCCGAACACAGAGTGCTTGCTGTAGCTTCACAGCAGGTCTTGGCTTTGAGTGCAACATCTCTAAAGCAGTGCACTTCCAGCTGATGCTGCCTTATTGCTGTCTGCAGTATTGCATCCAGGAAATCAGTTACTCGAGATAAAAGCTGCTTTGTTTTTATCCAAACCCTTTTGTTTCCTCACTCCCGGAAGTGTGGGGAAAGAGAGGGTTTTGCCTGAGGGCCTCAGAGTCTCAGTTCAAAGGCAAAAATGAAAAAATTATAAAGGCCATTGTTTCATTTCATTAGGTCCTGCTTTGGTATTTCTCTTTTCCACCCTAATAGTGAGCCTGCTAGTTGAAAGCAGTGAGTTCTGAGTTGAGGACAGTGCAGTGAGCTCTTAAGGAACATAAGAAAAAACAGGTGGAACACACAGAACAAGGTGGCACAACCTCTTAGAGCAGTTTTGATTCTGTTTTCAATAGAAGGTAGCACTAATAGTTTTCATTCCTCTCCCTTCCCCTCAGTCTATGATTTGAACTTATGCTGAAATAGAAACTGTTGTTAGTGTGACTTGATTGCTGCCTTGATCCTGGGTCAAAGAACTTGTCAGATATCCTTCCTTGGAAGCAAAAGCCATCTCCAATTAGCACATTGGCAATTAGTGTGTGGTGGTTTCAGTCTGGATGGCAGCCAGGATATCTACAGTGTGCAAGATACATACTTAGTTGCAGTTCTGTCCTTTGGGAAAGATACAGTATAAAGTTCATTTTTATGTTTCCTGTGAGTCTGACAGCATGGCAAGGTTACATCTGTCAGTGCTGTCACCTTCACTGTTTGAATATAATGCCATGGCTCAGTTGTTTTAAGCTCTTACTGATAATTATTGCAAATAATTTTGTGCTTCTTTATTGGTATTTGATAATACAAAGCAACCGACAGGGTGGAGAAAGAGAATGAAGATTAATTCAGACAAGCTAATTCTGTACCACAGCTCTACTAGCTGCTGATGGTCATTATATTGGTGTTTTGGGGTGGTTTAGGTTATAGATTCCTAGTTTGAGCAGATATAGCAATCTGTCTGTATTGGAAGTTGCCTAGCAACTCTTCTTAAGTAGTATGTGTAATTTATTGTATCTAGAATTCTTGTCTAGCAACTTTGTATTCAGATTAGGGTAGGTTTGGTAATTCTGTATGTATGAGTTCATCCCTAATCCCACACCCTGACCACAGTAATGAAGTAAAACTGCTTTTTTTTTCATCACAAGATTACATCTTCTAAATTACTGATGTGTTGGCTTGGTGGTTGACTCATCATCACTGCTTGCACCTTGATCGAACAACTGAGTTATCAAAATCATGCTGTCAAATTCTAGTCTGATCCTGGATCCTTTTTTGCATCTGTTTTTTTAGAGAAACCCATGAAGCCTTTTTGTTTCCATATTCCAAAAGAGGTTTCATATACTCTTATGGAGAGATCAACTTTCCTGATGTCTGATTTCTGATTTTAGCTTTCCTTTTCCATCTCTCCTCTTTGTTCATTCAGCTGCCTCTGCTAGGTTCCTGCAGAGAGCAGATCACAGGATGGGCATTTCTTCAAGACACATTTTTGTAACTAGTAGACACTTTCATATATACTTAAATGGAAGTAACACAAACACAAACCATTCCTACATTTTTGAACTAGACAAATCTGTTGTGCTGTCCCAGTAATGTGATGCTTTTTGTTCAGCTAATCAGCACTTAATTTTCAGTGAAATAGCTGCAGAAGTGTTGCATGCTGAGGGGTAAAACGAGTGTTGCAGGATGTGATTTATTCCTTAAAAAATTGTGAAGTAAGAAAGCCTTGCCTGTTTTGGTTTTTTTAGCTGTAGTTAATATAATCTGACTTGGTTTTATATCTGTAGGTTTGGGCATGGAACATTCATGGTTTGTTTGGAAAACATTTACAAGAAGATCACTGGCAAAGAGCTGAAATATGAGGCCCTGATGGGCAAACCCAGCAGGCTGACGTATCAGTACGCGGAGCACCTGATCCGCGCGCAGGCGGCAGAGAGGCAGTGGAAGCAGCCGATTCACACCCTCTACGCTGTCGGGTAAGGGCTTGGAAGCCTCAGGAGTACAGCAGGGAAATACAATATAAATGCCAGCAACAAAAAATACACAGCTCCTACCAGCTTATTTTTCATATCATTAGGATCACCCACCATGTTATGGTGTACTTTCGGTAATGTTTCTGATCTCAAAAATTAAGGATACTTTGCTCCTTCTATGTGTATTTTCTGGAGAAGCACAAGATGGCTGTAAGATGAGACAGGGGAGATTCAGATTAGATATCAGGAAAAATGTTTTCCCTGTTAGGGTGTTCAGGCACTGGAGTATTGCCCAGGGAGCTGGTGGAGTCACCATCCCTGGGAGTGTTTGATAGATGTCTGGACTTGTCACTAGAAGATATGGTTTAGGGGTTACAGCAATGGCAGGTTAACAGTTGGACTTGATAATCTGAAAGTTCTCTTCCAACTTGGATGATTCTGTGATTCTAAGAAGCAGTTTGTGTGCAACCAAGATTTTGCCTGATTAATTTCTCAGTTATTTCTGTAAATCTAACAAAAAGGGTTTGCATGGGTGTTTGTTTTATTAGGTTTACTGGTATAACACCAACTAGCTTTGATCAAATGGCAGTTATTAGAGAGTCATAAAATTATCAGAGTTGGAGGAGACCTCTAAGATCAAGTCCAACCATCAACCTGCCAAATGTAGAGCTAGAATTTATCTCCAAGGTCATTAGACTTGGTAATAAGCTATTGCATGTGCTGTCACATCATAGAATCCTTGTCATAGAAAGGGATGAAGCTGCATTGTATTAGAGACTGTTCCAGAATCTCCAAGATATTTGGAAATACAATAAGCTCGTTTATGGACTGCTCTTTGATTTGCCCTTCCTGTGCTTCGATCAGGAATTCCAGTATGGGGAGTGACTCATTTCTTTCATGTCATGCTCCATGGAAATGGTATAATAAAACAGCCATGGGGTTTGGTTTCTCCCTGTCTGCATACTTCCACATAAAGTTGTGTCGAGTGTAAAATAAACTGCTAAACTGAGCCTGTAAAAATGTCTTTTATACACTGACATTTGACAATGCTGAGTGAACTTCCTTCTGTTTGCAGGGACAATCTCATGACAGATGTCTATGGTGCTAACCTTTACAACCGCTATCTCCAAGAGAACTCCAGAAAAGGTTCCAAATCCCGGATTCAGGCCAAAGCTGCTGGTGGCAGAGGCTCTGCCACACTCTCTCAGGATGATGAAATAGACCACAGCTGGGAGAATGAGTTAGCATCTGCAGCTGCTGCTCACTGTAGGTCTGTTCTCGTTTGTACCGGGGTGTACAACCCCCACACCGAGGTGCCCTTGGATACCAGGGACAGCATAACTGAAACAGTGTTCCATGGCCACAGAGATTTTAGATTTGATTCTGGTTTAGTAGAACCAGATCATATTGTGCCAGATGTTGATGCTGCTGTAGACCTGGTCTTCCAGCTGGAGAACTTTGCACCTAATTAAGATGAGATGATTTCTTAAGGACCACTCAGTGCTGTGCTTTTCTCCCAAAATAAACAAACTGTGCTTTACCATAGTGCCACTAACTGCTGCCTTCTAAAGTTTTTTAACTTCTAAATTGATACAGTCTTACATTAAGTATGCTTATTAGTGGTATATGTAGGTATATTAGTATGTTTAAGTATAGTACATATCAGTAGTGCTTTTTATAGTAATTTCTGGCTTTAGTTGCCTCCTCTTTGTTATGTTAGGTATTTTAATAGCAATATTTCATAGTAGCATATTCATGTTGCTGGTACTTAAATTCCCCCATGACAGTACCTTCTTTTGTTTGCTGGAAGATTTAGCTTTTAAGTATTGGGGACCTTGAGGATATCAGATTGTGCTGCTGAGATTGTTCACTCAGTTTCAAATGGGCTGGTACAGAGCATGACATGTATTACTGCTTGGTGTTCTGCAAGTGACAAGTGCTCTTTAATTTAGAGTGGTGTTCATGTCTGTTCTACTTTGGACTCCCTCACATATAACCCTGCTGCAGCCTTTCTGTTTGGTTTGGAGTTGCTATTGCTTCTCTGTGCTCTGATGTGTAAAGCCTTAAGACCAATGCCCATGCCCAGTGGGGAAGGCTGATGTGGTCCCACCACGTTGGAGCTCCAGCTAAGCTGAGCACAGGTGTGTAAGGAAAGCAGGTGACACTGGGTGCCCTGTGTGGCATGATACCTGACCTTTTTGTCTTTGCCTTGCTGTCTGCACTTTTGTTTTAGGCACTTAGAATCTTAGAAAGCTTTAGCAATTTTGTTTCAGGTGTTTCTGTGAGTTGGACTTCACCACTGAATGAGTGACTACTGCTCGGCCAAAAAGTGCCTCCTAATTTACTTGAAGCCTCATACCACTGTGGTAGTTCTCTGGCCTTTACTGTAATATATTTCATCTCGTGTCAGTGTTATATGTTGTTTGGTTCAAGGATTTTATAGCTGTTCATTTAAAAAAAAAGTAACTTATTTTATGTTATTTTTGTAAAATACTTCTAAATGTTTTCATCCAAAAGATGTCTTTGAAAATATTTCTGTATTAATTTGTTGGAGCACAGTGTATGGTGTATTTGTGACATAAGCTTGGAAAACATGAGCCAATTAATTGTTGTAAAAACGAAATCAACTAACACACAAAGATCACTTCACATTGGAAATTAGTCAGCTGTTAATGATTGGGGTTTGTTGAGGTTTTTTTAAGTTAGAAAATGTACAACAATCTGTGGGCCTTCAGTTTTCCCAGGTTCTTGCAGAGCTAGCAGAACACTGGCTTAAAGCAGTGACAGACAGATGGTGGCACAGAGGGAAATGACTTCATGGCCAACTTCATCACTGCTTCTTACCCCAACAGCAAAGCCTGACAACTCGTGCCATGAGAGAACACAGCTGCTATGAAGTCAGATTTTGTTGTTGTGTTTTCTCTGTTTGCAAACCACTGTAATCCCCTTCTCTACTGTCAGGATGGTCCATTCATCACTCAGTGTTTCGTCAGCAGCTTTCAACATATCTCGCTGGATCCAGTGTAAGAACACTGCTCTAAACAGTTCATTTCCTGCTTCTTCACTGGGGAAGTATTTACAGCAGCACATTCTTGCCTTTTTTATTGGTACAATAAACAGTTATCTACCTATTTCTTTACCACTTTTCTGTAACACACCAAGTATTTTCAAAGGATGCCAAATCTTTCTAAGTAAAGGTTGTAGTTTTGTAACATGTCAGGACCAAGTTGCATTGTTTCAGTACTAAAGCATGTTGCAGAGCTCTTTAACTTGTACCAGAATCGGGTTCAGGTTGTCAGTGCAGCAAGGAATAAAAATGTTGGAAGTTGATGAAGACCAGAAAATGTTCAGTTTGTTTCTTTTTTTTTCCTCAGAATATGCACGAACACTGCAAAAGGTTCATGAAGGAACTGTGTATGTGCTTTGTAAACTTCATCCCTCATGGAAACATTAACTTAGAATGAGTATGCAGAAAAAACAGTCTGCTGATGAGGTTGCTACTGGTTGTTACCTAAAGGAAGACAGGTTTTTAGTCAGTATCCCTCCCAGACCATTTAGGCTCTGTCTGCATTGCAGAGCTGTGAATGTTGCCTGGTGACTCTGCTTGAGCTGTCTTCAGTGTGGTTGTTTGTATGAAAACATGACTGAGCCCCAGCAGTGCACAGAGGTGCCACTAGACCTGCAGCTGGATCACCACGAAACAAAACATTCAGGCAGTTACTGCCACAGGTGGTGGACAAGGATGATCAATATATATGGGTGTTGCTATAAAGCACAAAAGAGAAATGTGAGTGTAGCAGACACTTGGGGTATACCAGCGAGCTTGGCAAAGATTTTGGTCATATATCATGAGAAATAAATTTTTAAGGAAGGATTTGTTAGGAGCATCCACTTGCTAGGTGCTCCCACAGCTTCACTGGGGTGCTGAGCTGGGTACATTGACATTAGATTGTATAGTCCCTAATTAGTACTGCAACTACACAGCTCAGATGTAGCTGCAGGGGCTGAAAGCAAGCTGCTTTCCTCAGCCACAGGTTCCAGTGTTTATGTGCACTGGGCATTTGCATTGCAGTTAGAAATTTGAAGTGTTGCTGGTGTTAGTACTATAGCAATCTCCTCACACTTTGCAAAATGAGTACAAAGCATGTGTGTTCCTCCCCCAGTGAGTCCAACTCCAGTGTACATTTCTACTCAAATTTCTGGTAAGAGTATTTTTGCTCAGGCATTAGTCTGTGGCTGAGGCAAACCTTTCATTCCACCTGCTTTACTCAGCACTGAGTTCCAGCAAGACTTGCCATCCTTATCTTTTTATTAACATGACCCCTCAAAGAGCAGGCAGTGCTTAACTTTTGCTCTTCTTTCCTTGACTGCCCTCTTACCTGGGTTTTCACTTAGCCTTCTTGAGTGTCTATTTCAGCTTTGCCATTTACCTCTTTGAATCAGTGTTTCCCAGATGTTCTGTTCACTGTTTTTCAGCAATCACAGGTGAGCTATTGGATGTTACAATACTGCTTTCGAGTTTAAAATGCACTGTGAAACACCTAAGTGACAGGGTGTGCAGAAGGAGATCACTGAAGTCACTTTTAAAGTACTTCTGAGGATTTTGCAGAAGTTTCTTCTGAGTAGAACTTGCCCTTTTTGAGGGCCTGTCATCAGTTTTGCTAATAAAAAATTGTCCCTATTTTAAACTACAGCCATGGATTGTCTTCAGTATCACATTTTTCTTTCATGATATTTTTCAGTTAGAGGAGTATATGAGATTTACCTTTTAAGAAAAATTTTCGGATACCTCCTCTTGATAGAAAAAAACCCCTCCAAGCTGCACTTAAAATGAAACATGTCAAAACTTGACTTCTCTTAAATGTAATGAATAATCTATTCTGTGGTACCTTCTACATGTATAAAATCAGTCAGTTACTCCTATTGTTTCTACTTGTTTGCCAATAATCTTTTCAACTTGCAGAGTTTTTTTAGTCAAAGGTCATGCAGTTCTCCAAGGCTCAGGGCATCATTTCAGGTCATCCAGCTCCTGGGCTGAACTCCAGCTTGGTAAGTGGCAATATGGGCTTGGCAGACCCTCAAAAAGCCAAAATGCTTAAAAAACAGCAGGCAAGACCATTCGTAGTTCTGGCATCTTCTCATCTGCACCCTTTCAAAATAAATGCAAAGCCCTGGGTGAGTTTCTCCTGTCAGTGACTGAAATTGTGCCCCAGCATTGTGAGGTAGCTCATAGTGTGCTGCTACGAGCCCTTTCTGAGCTAATGAGAAAGATACCCCCAGGATTTGCTGCAGATGGTTTAAAATGAATCAGCAATACACTGTTTTAGTATGTGTTATGTTTAGGATTGGTGTGCTTTAAATTTACATTTGTTTTGGCTTTCTCCAGAAAGAAAATAAGCAGCTGTGAGATGGAATTGCCATGCCCCAGGTTTGTGTAAAATGGAAGTTGAAAGTCCCTGGAGCACGTTCCCTATTAGTGGTGTTTGTTGCCTGGGTGGCTGGATGGGCTCACGGAGGGCTGTGGGACCCTGGCTGTGCTTTCCCAGCCCTGGGCTTGCAGAACTGCCATGCCAGCCTTTGATCAAAAGGTGTTCCTACGTGATGGATCAAAGGAGGAATGCCAACAAAAGGATTCACAGAAGCACAGTGCTATGCTTTGGTTTTTCCAGTGTAAGTTATTTTTGCTCCCAGCAGCTCTCAGTGGAGTCACTTGTTCAGAGTGCAGCTCCCAGCACAGTGTCTGCATGTGCTGGCACCAACACATCCACTGGTCCAGTGACTGATAGGGTTTGTATGAAGTGCAAATACATTTGAAATTAATGTACATGTTGCTTCAGATTATAATAATTGCACAGGCAGATGGAAATACGTGAACTAACCCAGACCTCTGGTTGCCTTAGCTTTTTTCCACATAGCCTGTCTTCTGTGTGATGGCTAAAAGCAAGAGTGCCATGTTGTGGTGTCCAGGGCAGTATAGCTGTTTAGTCTCCCCACCTGGTCTCCCCAGAGATTAGAGGTAGAAAAAGTGACCTGGCTAACACTACACAGAAGGCAGTAGCTGAAAGAGGTAGAAATCTCTTCACTGTCAAGGCCAGGATTACAGGAGTTTCTGTGAAACTCAATGGTGTGTTTGTATGTTCTGTAACTCGAACAGAAACGGGTACCAACAGGCTTTGTGCGGCATCACAGTATATCACACAGTCTGTATTAAAATCTTTTGTCTAGACAAGGCTGAATTCTTGGGTGATGAAATCTATCCTGTTTCCAACACTGAAGCAGCCTGCATGTTGGAAGTTTCAGAAAAGAGTGTTATTTGTGTGAATAAAAGGGATGGGTACATATTCAGAATAGCACAGGAGGGTTTACTTTGTGTAACTGAGACCACCTGAGGCTCAGCTGGTCTCAATTAAATGTTCTGCTCCTTGCATTTTGTTAGTCTTGTATGCCAAGCTCAGAATCCAGCACTGGAGTC